GGTACTTAATAAACTTACTTATAAACTTAATAGACTTACTGATTGCTAAGATAGCCAAGCCTGGTTTTGGAATGCCTAGAAGTATCCCTAAGGCTCTAATGGCATTGTGAAATTCTTGAAACAAAATTCACTTTAATTTGCTTTATTTAAAAAGGTTTGGTTGTGCCTTTGCACGGGAGGCAGTATAGCCTAGAGTGAAAATAGCATGAAACCAAAGGTTCATGGTAACCTCCAAATATTACTAATTATAGATCACTGGGTTCAAAACAGTTCCTTTCACTTGCAAATCTATGAAGAATCTGGGTTACAGGCATTATATGATATACAACTACTGTAGCCTAGGAAAAGTGAATTCTATCAACTCCCTCATTTTAAACATATTTTCCCATGTAGTTCTGTCATAAAGGGTTTTTCACCCATAATAGGTTGAAGTCAAAGAACACAGTAAAATACTATGTATACATCAACTATAGGGACAAGGCATGTAAGACTGTATTACAGAATCTGGACCATATAGTGGGAGGGAGGGATAATCCCATATATCAAGGATCCTTCACAAAATTAAAAAAAAAAATCAATGAATATGTAAAATTCTATTGAATTTGGCTTGTAATAAGTATTGAATCATTTTTGAAAGGCATATTTCATGTAAAGCCTGGGGTTTTGCACTAAAAAAAAAAGTTACAACATAAGAGTTACTGAAGGGATGCTTTAAAAAGTATTCCTTTTAGAGTTAACTTCTGATGGTTATTTTGGCAGTTTGTGTAAGACAGGACATAGGTCTCCAAAATACCTGAACTTAAAGAGCAATGCACATGTAAATAAGTAAGTATATTGTGCTCTGGGTCTAGTAAGATGCTAACATGAAAAAGATGCCATGCTTTTGAGTTTTACTACCAGAATCAGCATGCCCCCTACTGATTTTTAAAGCAGAACTTAACAATGCAGAAGGATCAACAATGAAAATGGGGAAATTCAGGAGATGAGACTACAGGGATTATAAAATAACTAATAAAAATAATAGTGGAAAAGGGTGTCACTATAATTAATGTTAGAACCCATTCATTTTTATTGCCAATCAAGATGCGACCAACATCACATTTATTAAAGAAATGTACTCTTATAATTAGGTCATTCTGAAAAAAAGTGACTGTCATAATTTTCTCTATTCTGGTTTATATGTTAAATAGAATTGAATGGGAAATATACTATTGTATAGCTACTGATAATTGATACCAGGCATTTTTATACATTACTTTATAGTCATTAGTTTGCAGCTCTTCATGGATAAAACAATAAAGTAAATCACTCAAAAGACCTGAATTTTATTCCTGCCTTCACCACTCACCTTCTGAGTAAATTTGAGGAAAATTAGTCAACTTCCTGCTGTTATCTCAGAATGTAGAGATAACTAACTATGCCTGCCTTCTAACCACTTTCCTGAAATGTTTAGTGAGCATGTCAGATAAAATATCTAGAGAATTTGAATCTATAGGAAGAAAGAAATTCAATAAAGGGAAATTAGTACTCATATCACTTTAGTATTAACGTTATTTTACAGACGGGAAAAGCAAGAAGTGGGAATAAGGAAACTGCTCAAAGTGTTCAAAAGCCTGTGAGAGAGCCAGGGTCTTCATTTCAATTGTAACATTCTTTGCAAACCTCCTACTACATAAAATCACACTCCCTCACCTTCTGTAATAGTTATGCCTCATGATTAAAAATAACAAGCATTTTCATAAAGCATTTGTCTGTTTCTCTCTCTCTTTCAGTGGGGTCTATGACTTTTCAGATGTGGAGAATTCTAAGGTAGGAAAAGTCTTGCAAACAAGGCAGATGGGCATTTGTCTGACAGAGTTGTTGGAAATGACTCAGAAGTTAATCAACTTAGGGCAGCTAAGTAGGGCTGGACAGAGCACCAGCCCTGGAGTCAGGAAGATCTGAGTTCAAATCCAGCCTTAGACACTTACTAGCTACATGACCCTAGGCAAGTCACTTAACCCCAATCACCCCCCCTCCAAAAAAATTAAAAAAAAAAAGTTAATCAACTTGCTCATGATCACTTGAATGCATATCTATCAACTATTTCATACTGTCTCTGACAGAAAACAAAACAGCTTTGATCACTCTTTACACCTACCCATAATACAGATGATGTTACTTAGCATCACTATGAGAAAAAAATTAAACTTAATTTATACATGAAAACATTATGCAACAGAAATAATTTTTCTTGTACCTAAGACTCCCTTCACCATTGATATAGACATATTCTTCCTACACTCTCAGAATTCTTACACAGCATTAATTTGTCTGAGCACCCCAGGGTCCATGGCATTCATTCATTCATCTATCATTTATTAAGTACCTACTATGTACCAGGCACCCATGCTAGTACCTGAGGATACAAAGATTTAAAAAAAAGAAATCCCTGTCGGAAGGAATTTGCATATTAATGATGGGACAGGAGGCAGTGAACACATACACAGATAAGTAAATACAATGTAAACAAATGAATCCTCCAGGATTACAGAGTCGAGGACACACTCAGTCATCGTGTTAACCACGTGGGTATTCTAGATGATTAAAAGGCAGATTTTTGGACAAAGAATTCACAAAATCAGAGGAAGTTACTTTCTAAGGTGGTTTAGACCTGAATTCAAATTCAAATTCTGACACTCATTGAACTTGGTCAAGTCACTTAACCTCTGCTACAGTTTCCCCACCTGTAAAATGGGGATAACAATAGCATCAACTTGCTAGCATTGTCATGAGGACCAAAGGAGATATTATAAATCACCTTACACATAGTAGGCACTATGTAAATGTTAGTTATTATTATTCATCCTGTGACTTCTAACCACATGACCTTGAACAAGCTACTTAACCTCTCTGGGTCTGAGTCTTCTCAAGTATAATATTAGGGGGTTGGACTGGAAATTTTTTTTTTTAATCCCCAGCACTTAGCAGAGTGTGCTTAAAGTGCTTAATAAATGCTTACTGACTTTGAAGTTTTAGCTCTAAATCCATGGCTCTAGGTGCTAACAACTAACTTTCCTTTCCCTACAGTTTCACCTCTTACTCCTGTCAGTAAGGGACTCTAGGAGTCAAGAGCTACCTGGAGGGTAACATGTATACAATACAGTAAAAGAATTGGTGTGCTCCACGTGGGGAATGGAACCAAGAAGTAGAAAAGAGGGAAGTACCATTAAATACATCCAGTCTGTGGCCCTTGTCAGAGAAAAAATACTGTTACATAACAGGCCTAATATTCAAGTCCTAGCCTAATGACACAAGAGGCTCTGTCATCTTTCTGAATGGCATTGCAGCCTAGAAACCACTCTGCTGATGCCTATCATGTCACCACTGACCTTACTGTCACTCTATATGGTTCTAAGTTTTACGGAAGGTTATCTCCCAGTCTTAAAGAGCAGCATTTTATCTTTTTAGCTTTTCTTGTATAAAGTCTAGAATGCCATTCACTTGTGGATAATTAACACTTTCTGGTTCCACTTTTCTTATTCAGAACATTTTTTTTTTCTTGATCTAGGGGACTCTGAAGCATGCCTGTAACTTAGTCTTAGATACCTGGGTCGTTAAGTCATTGCCATAAGGTTACACATGTATGCATGTATGTATATGTATGTGTACATATAAATGTGTAAGAGGCATAACTTGAACCTAGATCTTGCTGAGTCCAAGGCTAACCTACCATCCACACCACACTTGCCTTTTTTATGCCAATATTGGAGTATAACTGCAGTTTCTCTTGAGTTCTATGACAATTAAAATAATCTTTATTTATTCATGAAGATCCATGAAATAGGCTCTAATAACAGCACTCACTACTTATGGATCAAAATCTTTATCCTCTAAGAGAATTCTGGGTTCCAAGGAATAGGAGGAAAGGTTCAGTCGGTCAGTCAGTTAGCATTTATTAAGTGCCTTCTGCATGGAGCTGTGCTAAGCACTGGGGATAAAAAGAAAGGCAAAAATAATTCCCTGCTCTCAAGTCTAACGGGCAAGATAACATGCAAACAACTGTATACAAACAAGATGTATATATACAGAATAAATTAGGGACATAGTCTCTGGGGGAAGGCACTAAAATTAAGGAGTACTGGGAAAGGCTTCTTACAAAAGGTAGGACTTTGGCTGACACTTGAGGGAAGCCAAGGAAAGTAAAAAGCAGAGACGTGGAAGGACACGGGGGACAGAGAAAAGCACGGAGTTGCAAGTCGAATGTGAGGAAGAGCAGGGTGCAGAGCATGGAGGAGAGAAGTAAGGTGTAAGAAGACTGGGAAGAGGGGGCAACATGACATGAAGGGCTGTAAAAGCCAAATGGGGGAAAGGAGTAAGGTGCAAGAAGTTTGGAAAGGGGGCGGGGGTGGGGGGGGCATGTTACGAAAGCCTTTAAAAAACCAAACAGACTAACATTCTGGGAATAGAATAGGAGAGAGAAGTTTGTGGGTTGAAAGCGCACGTTCACCAGGCAAACCTATGCCGTGCCATCTTGCTTTCCTTTAGCATCCTGGATGCCAGTGAGCAGACGCCGGCCTTTCTTTCCTCGGGGCCAGGAGGTGACAACCCGACCAAGTCACCCCCACCCGGGGCGAGTGGGGCTGGAGGCTATTACTCGAAAGGCTCCCACGCCGGCGCCACCGCCCCCCGCAGAGCCCTCCGCACACTCTGCCCACACAACCTCCCTGGAAACCCGAGGGGCCGGAGGGACGCAGCCTTCGGCCATGAGCGGGAGCCCGACCCCCGCCCCCGGCGTCCCGGGGTGTGCGGGGCTGCCTCCCCGCCAGCCTCGACCCCGGATGCGGGAGGCGGGGAGCCGGCTCTCCTCCGGGCAGCCGGACCGGGGGCCGCCGCCTCCTCGCACCCGTGGTCCCCCGGGAGGGGTGGGTGTGTCTGCGCTCGCTGCCCGCTCTGCACACCCCGACCAGACACCGACCCTGACCGCACGCCTCGCGCCGGTCCCCGGGCCGCAGCCTTACCCGCAGGACGTGGTAGCCTTCGGTGCCTCCGCCGGGGATCTCGACGCTCTGCGAGGAGCCCATGGCGGCGGCAGGCGCAGGACGAGGGTCACTGGCCCCTTCTCCGCGCAGCTCCCCGCCCCCTGGCCTCGCGCAAGGCCCGGGCCTCACTTAGGGACGTGGCACTCGCAGGCTCCGTAGGCCGGCGCCGCACTGCCCGACGGGAAATCACTGCGGGGCTGGTAGCAGTGGCGGTGGTGGCAGCGGCGGCGCCGGGGATAGCGCCACCTCCCGGGCGCCGGAGGGATGGAGGAAGTGGAGGTGTTGTGGAGAAGGAAAAGGTGTATATTTGAGGAAGCCGGGGAAGCGAAGCTGCGGTGATGTGGAAAATGATGGGCTCGAACGCTCTGCTCTCCTCGCGAGATCTCAGAGCCACCGTTCATTTCCTAGTAAGGGTTCCTACGGTGGCCCCAGTAGGACAAGGTTAGCAAGTCGAATTCTCACCTCAGCCAAAGATTTTTTTTTTTTGCACTGCAGCATCCCCTAGTGGCTGTAGTCAGAGAAAAAGATGCCCCCTTCATCGTCCATTTAAACTCCTAGATTCCTTGGCTTTAAAGTTCTGCCTTGGATTTAACTACTTGGGTGGACCCTCTTGTAGGGAATATTGCCTCTGCACACTTCTGACCTTAGAGTTTGTTCCTTTTGTAGAGGCTTTGGGAAATAGCAAATTATCCTCTCCTCTTCCTTATCCCCTCATTGTGTGTGTTGGGAGGGGGGCAGCATCAGCAAGCACTCCTCCCTTCTCTGGGGATTGGTCAGTATTGGTCAAAAAGTCTTCCATTCCATTGGCTCTCACAGCTGTCAAGGAAGGATCCCTGAACTGGCTTAGTGGTTCTGGCCATGTAGAAGCAAACAGTGTGCCTACCACCTTAGGAGGCAAAGGGTCTCCTAATCTGTATACTTTCCAATCCTTTATCTGGTCAGGCTTTATTCAAGCTTCTCCCCTTCCCAAAGGGCCGCCTTCTGCTCCCAACCTCTTCCTCCCACTTCAAACCAAAATACTGAAAGCAAGGGTTTGAGTGGGAAACATTGAAATTGGAAATGATGGTGACATTTGCCTTACTCCAGATGATTTATATATATATATATATATATATATACACACATACATACATACATATATATGTGTGTGTGTATATATATATATAGTTCTTGCTTGGGGAATTCCTTTAGTTCAAGTTCTTGTGAAACTGATGTACCTCTTCCCAAGGGTTTTTTTTTTTCTTTTTAAAAAAATTATTTACTTTTAACATTTAAAATAAAATTTTGAGTACCAAATTCTCTCCCTTCTTTCAGTCTTTCCCCACTCATTGAGAAAGCAAGCAATATTTTATCGATTATAAATGTGAGATCATGCAAAACATTTTTCCATATTAGCCATGTTGCAAAAAGCAAGAAAAATAAAGTAAAAAATTTAGAATAATGTTCTTAATTGCATAAAATAAAGTACCTAAGATTAAAAAGAAAATAAGTTACATTGAAATACAATAAAAATATCTTTTTTTTTAAGTTCATGGACCTCAGGTTATGAACCTGTTCTACCTGTTACTAGATTATCAAATCAAGATTCCATTAGGCAGATTACATTGTAGTTTATGATCTCAGATCTTACATTTTTAACATTACAATTTGATATTGTACATTTTTGATGACAACATATCACTCATCTCATTAAAAACAACTTTTGTTGTTATTTTACAACTGGGTGAGATAAGTGGCAGATATGGTTGGATTTTTATTTGTTTGTTTTCTTTGTTTCGCAGTCAGTTAAGTGTTTGCCAGACCCCCCCCCCAAAAAAAGATATTGTAGGAATCACTGCTTTAAACTGTGGGAGCCAGTTCAATTTTCCTAGCTTGTTTAGGGAGGGGCTGAAAGAAAGGACAGAGAGAGCATTTCAAGGATATTTGAAAAGTCATTATGAAGGAATGAAATATCGTGGAGTTTAATATATCACAACTTGGCATAATGGAAAAAGCAATGATTGGAGATCTTGGATTCAAATCCTGTCTTTGACAGTGCCTGTGACAGTGCCTAAGTTATTACCTCCTAGGCTTCAGTTTCCTCATCTGTAAAATGAACTAGTTGGCCTATGAGGTCCTTTCCAGCTATAATCCTAAGTGTTGGATGTTTGCTGTTAAATCAACACATGGGAGGCTATTGCCCAGAAAAGTTGCAATTGGGGCTGGAACCTGCTGTAGAGAATTTGATACTTTGCAACAATATAGAAAAGTAGGTTTACTAGGATATTTTCATAGATTGAAAAATCAAATTAGTATGTTCTGAAATGGTAAATATGCAAGGGATAAACAAGACTTCACGTGGTATTCCTAATTTTGCCTTTCTGGGCTATGCAAAATTAGTCTAATCTTTCTTATACATGATAGTTTTTGAAAGACTTGAAGTCAAGACAACATACATTTACTCAGTGACTACTCAGTGACAGGCACTATGTGAAATAGTGAGGCTACAAAGAAAGGCAAAAACAGCCTCTGCCCTCAAGGAGCTCTCACTCTAATGGGTGGAGACAATACGCAAACAACTATGCAAAAACAAGATAAATACTGGACAGGTTGGAGATAATCTTGGAGGGAAGATATTAACATTAAAGATTACTGGGAAAGGTTTTTTGCACATGGAATTTTTGTTGAGACCTGAAGGAAGCCAGGGAAGCCAGAAGGCAGAGATGATGAGGGAGAGAGTTCCAGGCATGGAAGACTGTCAGTGAAAATAAACAGTCAGAAGATAGATTGTCATTTGGGAGGGATAGCAAGAAGGCCTGAGTCACTGGATCCAAGAATACATAGAGGGGAGTAAAGTATAAGAAAACTGGAGTTCTAAATTGAAGGCAGATATTACATCCCTACTAAGTCCTCTCATTCAAGATAAGCATCCCTAGTTTTTTCAACCAGAGGACTTTTACCATTCTGGTTGCCCTTCTCTGGAACTCTCCAGTTTATAAGTGTTCTCTCTAGAATGTGGTGTCCAGAACTCAAGACAATATTCTGGATTTAGTATGACCAAGGCAAAGTATAACATAACTGTCAACTACCTTCCTTCATGAAGAATTAGATCACATTAGTTTTTTGCCTGCCATATCATGCTGTTGACTCAGTTGTTGATTGTGTTGTCACAGAATCACAGAATTTTGGAACTGAAAGGGACCTCAAGGGTCATCTCGTCAACCTATTCTTGAGTAAGGCTTTCCTCTATCTATCTAAAGCTTTTCCCCTGACAAGTGGTCATCTAGCAATTTCTTGAAGAGCTCCAATAAGAAGAAATCAACTGTCTCCTTTGGAAGTTCACTGTACACTGGGGTAATTAATTCCAGTTGATGGGAAATTCTTCTTCACACCTGGCTCAAACTTTCTTCATTACAATTTCTATCCATTGCTCACAGCTTTGTTCTTTGGGGCCAAACTGAACTAGTCTGATTTCCTCTTCCACATCACAGACTTTCAAATTCTTGAACAAAGCTGTCGTGTCCCCCATAAATTTCATCTACTTCAGGCTAAACACCTCCACGTGCTTTAGCTATATTTACATAGCATGGCCTCAAGGCTCTTGACCATCTTGGTCACCCTCTTTTGGATGTTTTTCAGCTTATCAATATCCTTCCTAAATGGCCTTTTATCATTCTAATATATATAATTATTTATATACATATCCCTCCTTTTTACTAAACTAAATCCTTGAGGGCAGGGAATTGTGCCATTATCATCTATGTATTACTACTCAGCATCTAGCATGGTACCAGTCATATGGTAAGGGTTTTACATGGTTGTTTCCTTAGTCACATATCCGTTGTCTAAATTAATTAATATCTAATATCCCTTCTCCTATTAGTAAGCAATATTTTTTCACTATCAAAAGAGGGCCTGTTTGGTAAGATTTTCTCTCATCATGGCATCATGGGTTTAGGCTTCCTGAGTAAGTTTTGCTGCTCTTCTTTATCATATTCTGTTCTTTATTTATTTATTATTTTTAATTTATTATTATTTTAACTCTAATAATCATCAATAAAAGCAAATAGTTTAATATATAAAGAACAAGACTGATATATGTAGATATAGACATATTTACATATTAATTTCTTAGGGAGAAAGCAGTTATATGGATGAGTTGCCTTCATGTAAAAAGCCCCAGTTGTGAAAAGGTCTGTTTCAGCTCTGAATGATGTCTTGTTAACTGAGGAGAACAGCACTCACTGCCACAGCTGCATTCTCACATGTTTATAAAACACTGACTTTGGCAATCACATTCATGGCATCCACAGCTACCAGTGGGGCATCGTTCTTTTATGTTGTTGTTGTTGTTGTTGTTTTTTAAATGACCATACAGCCCTTAGTGGGTAACAGGGGAAAGAAGTCTTCCTTGCTAATAGCAAAGCAATTACAGAGGAGTGGACTTGAATAACATTCCTTATATAAGTAGTTCAAGGTCATCCGGAATGTTTTTATGAAAGAGGCATTGGTTTGGTGGATTCTGCCTTTTGTGGAGCCTTTTGGCCGTGTATTTTGTAAAAATTCCATAATTATTTCACCGTCTTAAAAAGCTTCAAGCTTTCTTTTGTAGGGACTTTGGAAAAAGATGTCAGGAAGAGTAAGTCCTAGGGAGACAAGAGACTTCTGCAGCCACTCCTTCATGTTCCAACTTAATTCAGATCATAGTTACTCCTTGCTGCTGGGGGCTTCAGTCTTCCTGACAAAGAAGAGAGGTCTGCCTGAGGGAGTTGTAGGAATTGAGTGAACCACACTGATGGAATTGAGTCCATCTTGTGACTCAATTCTGGAACTAGCTCAGTTCCCTTTCTATTCAATTGTGGGTCTAGTCCAATTTCTGTCTTCTGAGAAAACTTTAATTATGGCAATTGTGTGAAAACTTTATTGCATTGTTTGAATCCAGCCCAGCGTGGCTGGGAAGCTGGACTACCTCTACCTGCAGCTTGTTGTTCAGTTGTTTTAGTAATGTCCGACTTCTCATGACCCCATTTGGGGTTTTCTTGGCAGAGATACTGGAGTGGTTTGCCGTTTGTTTCTCCACCTCATTTTAGAGATAAGGAAGCTGAGGCAAA